TTGGTTTTGGGTGTTCGTATTTTTTTTCCCCACGCGCACACGTAAGCGAGTGGTTGTTGTACATTTTGTGGTCGGTTCGGTAATATTGCATGTTGATCCAATCAATTGAAAATACATGTTGAAATTTTTGGCTCTATTTTATTTTAAGTTGGCTTTTTTGGTTTTAATTAAATTATTTTCTCTCCTTTTTTTTTTCTTAATCCAATTATTTTTCACTTTTTGTCATCTTAGAAGTTGATGGGGAGGCATTTATCATAAAGTAATTTTAGGCTGAAAGTTCTTTTAAAATGGTCAAAAGTTGGTTAATTAATTTTGGATTAAAAATGTCCTTGGTTTTTTTTTTTAAGAAGAAGCATAGACCCACTTGACTTTTACTAAATATTAGTTTTAAAAATATTTTAACAAAACAACAATTTTACTCATTTTAAAAATATTTTCACGAGCTCTTAATTTTCTCACTTTTTATAACATACTTATGATTTTTTTTTTTTAACAAACGATATTTTTTATACCAAGTGAATAAAGTGAGATGAGTTTCACAATGATTAGCAATAATGTGGTTCAAATTCATTTTTGGCGAAAATCGAACCAAAGACCTATCACTAATAAGAAGAGAAATACTACTAGTATTACTAAGTGACAATATACCCATAATTTTTAAATTGACATTTTAGTCATGGGCTCATGGGAGATACGGTTTTTCACTCTTTGCACGTGTACATTATCGATAGTGTGACAAACTGAGAAAGCACACAATATTTTCCTTAAAATGTATCTTGGAGGCTTACCATTTTTTGTATTACACCATATAGATAATGAAATGATTGATGTAGTTTTGCTCACCGAGTCTGGTTTTGATTTTGTATTTATAGGCCAAAGTGTTCCACTATGGATCCATTAGCTTGATCGTGGAGCCGTGCAGATCGGCACATCTGAAGGCAATGGAGGTGGCTAAAGAAGCAGGTGCATTGCTCTCCTACGACCCGAACCTCCGGGAGCCGCTGTGGCCGTCGCGGGAAGAGGCAAAGAAGCAGATAATGAGCATATGGGATAAGGCCGATGTGATCAAGGTGAGTGATGTGGAGCTGGAGTTCCTTACAGGGAGCCCCAAGATTGATGATGCCAATGCCATGACACTGTGGAGAGATAGCTTGAAGCTCCTCCTTGTCACTCTTGGTGAGAAGGGTTGCAGATACTACACCAAGGTCAGTTCCTTATGCGATCCAATCCAATTCTTTACTATTTTGTTGCACCTGCATATGCATTGCTTAATTAGTTCTGAGTTTTTGACTTTTAGTCACGTTGGGCCTGGGGTAGGTGGGGGTGGGGTCTATGTCCATGATTTTGGTTGTGGACAAAGTAAGTTTGATTATATTTCTTGATATTAATGGAATCTTTATCTTATTCATTTGATGTTTTTGTTTTGCATATTAAAAAAACGAGTTGCTATTGACACTCTACAAATGCCGTGGCCGTGCACCATTTATGTAACAAAGTAGAAATATTTCAAGTATTATTATGTGGCAAAGCAGACATTTTTGAAGGAGTTAATATGTGTTCAAAACTAATAGAAAATTGGAGAGTTTCGAACCGGTGACGACGGGTCGTACCCAGTGCACAAGGCTCCCGCTTTACGCAGGGTCTGGGAGAGGTGAATGTCGGTGACGACACATGGATAAAATTCAACACTCTATCCACATGAATATTTAGTTTTGAGTTTAGAGGGGATTGGGTTTTGAAGCATGGGTAGACATCCAACTCCCTATCCATCAGGATATTGAGTTTTGTTTACTTTTTTTTTGGAAACTTTAGGCATTTGGTTTGGTAATTGGGTTAAAAACTTAACTTGTGTACATTACTTGTAAAACAACAAATACAGAATTTCCGTGGAGTGGTGGAATCCTTCGAGGTCAAAGCCGTTGACACTACCGGCGCCGGTGATTCGTTTGTCGGTGCTCTCCTTGCGAAGATTGTCGATGACCACTCTATTCTTGAAGTAAGCTATACAGTTGACGATGATTTTATGCATCTTATATGCTATATATATTTGAATTATATTAATTTGGAAAGCTGATGAACGAATTTGGTTGGATTTGCAGGACGAGAAGAGGTTGAGGGAGGTACTGAAATTTGCAAATGCATGCGGAGCGATTACAACAACCAAGAAGGGAGCGATCCCCGCACTTCCCAACGAGTCTGAAGCCCTCACCCTCTACAAAGCAAATTAGAACAAGGTGATGGATCTCAACAGCAACAAGAAGAAGAGGGGAATATCTGCCTCTTTTTATTTTTCTTTTTATTTCTCCTCTTTTTATTACTTTTTTTTTTATTTGTCAAGTTTGTAGGAGCTTTTGTTTCGAATTTTGTGTTTTATTGGAGAGGGATTTTCCAGCATTGGTTTGGCTGCGTGTAATGATGGAAGTTGGAGGCTTAAGCATTGCCTAATAAGTAATATGATTTCTGATATTTCATCTTGTTCTTCTCATCAAATGAGAACCCAAATTCGATTGTTGGATAATAATCAACGATGAAAGATAAATATATATAGAAATAAATTTGAATTATGCTAATAATTAAATAAATAACAACACTGTATATTGAATAAACAAAATTGATATTTAAACAAACGAAGCGAAGATCGAGGTTTGCGTATTGCAATGTCTTTGAAATAATTTTGTAGGCGCTTGCTTCTCTAGAAATGAACAATCTAAACTAGGATTCCAACACCAAAAAACTTAGTTTCTAGCAAATTAATTACTAGGTCTCTCAGTATGCTTGCTATTGAAGAAAAAATGATTTTCAGTGGTTTGATTGATATGCAAATGCATGTAATTATAATAATTATATATCTGTTCACAACATGTATGAGTTTAGGAGACGACTTGAATTGTACGAGTTTAAGAGCGACTGCTTAACAGAAAAGATGTGTCGGTTTAGATATAAATGGAACATAAGGCATATATTGTTGTTTGTTTAGCGTCGATTTAGCATCCGACGATAAAAGTATTGCTTTAGTCAAAAAGTTGTATTTGTTTTTTTTTTTTTTTGGAAAATAAAAGTTGTATTTGTTTTGCTTGCACATCCTTTCCCCTTTTCAAGCACATCTATTTGGGGCATTTGGAGCGAATAAAAACAAAAGATAATTAAGAAACGTGATGTGTATGGAAAAAAGGAGTGTACAAATCATTTTTTTTTAAAGTTAAGCAATTTTAATTTGGATACTATTGGCGGAAGAGGATCTTTGCTGGCATCTTTTCTTGGGGATCCAGAAGATCCTGTAATCATGACCATTCGTTGTACATTGTGACGTCAGAAATCATTTAAATTTTAAAATTAAATATAAATGATACCTAACGAAAACTGACCACATGATATATGATGAACGATCATGATCACATGATCTACCGGATTCTCAGAAAAAGGATCCGACGAGGAACCTTTTTCACTATTGGCACTCACATATTAAGTTTTTTTCAACCACTTTATATTTATTTATGATATATATTATATTAAATAAGAGTGAAAAATACGCCAGGTGGAAGTGCAAAACAGCAAAACAACAATTTTGGCCCCAACATGTAAAATGTGGACCGTTGGAAATCATGCCATATGATAACTTGGTTTTGTCCATATATAAAACAACTCGTGTCGTATAGGCAAACTAGCCAACTACTTGTGGAGAGATTTATAGTATGTCGGAAATAGATAGTACATCACGTGTCATTATACAATTGAGTTGATATGCCTAATATTTTACAAAAAAAAATTCAAAGGTTCAATATCTACAATAAGTTCTAACAATTTTTTTTGTTTGTAGTGAATCGGTAAATATCATTAACATTCATTGATTTTTCTATCTCTCGCCGATATATGGTGAAGTTTACATTTCCACCCTCATTTTCCATATCGATCATTGACTTTTCGGATATTTTGACGAAAATATCGACAATTTTGTGAATATTTTAGTCATTGCTAATTAGTGATTAAGCATGAATTTTCTTTTGGTGATTTCCTTAATTAGAGAGATACGCTCATGAAGAACCATAAAAAATAAATAAAAACTTTTATAGGTTATCTTCAAATTTTTATGCCAAATTGTAAATTAATGAATGTACATCAAGTCAAGCTTGGTGAGTTTGATTATCTATGGTAATTCTTTTTCCTCCAACATAAAAAAAAAATTAAGACAAAATAAAATGTTTCTAACCAAAGAGCCAAGTGCTCTGTCCAACTCTAAATAAATCAAAGATCCTTTCCTTTATCCAACAAGTACAACCCAAGACCCTTGTCAAATGCCAAAGCAATCTGAACATATCAATGGTGAAAAACTCGTATTTGGAAAAAGAAAGTGTCAGGTCAACTTATATAGACTTTCTTAAATTGTGTGACGACTCACATGCAGAAATGGACGATTTCACTAGCCATAACGCATAAGATATTTTAAACGTGAAATGCAATTCATGAAAAAACTTGACTTGAGATGAAGCAAAACCATTTGCAATTTAATCTTCAATGACCCAGACTTTAATACCAAGCATTCTAAAGTCTAATCTCTAATGAAAATTGATCTAAAGAACATGTGTGATAAATGATTACAGGTTTGACAAAGAAAGTCAAAAAACTACTAAGTTTGAACTTCACAACAACAACAAAATAAATTATTAAACCACATGATGTGGTTTAAAAAGATAAAGGGAACTTTAATGAAAAGTTTTTGGTACTGTTCATTTTAACGAAAAATCATATTTTTACACTAAAAAGTCAATCATGGTACTATTCACTTTACCATTTATTTTGTCATTTTCGTTAAAACTCAAAGTTGTTAAGCCTTTCTCATTAGTTTTCCTAAAGATAAAAGCAATAAAATGAGACTCCATGATTTAAACCACATTTTGTAAATCAAATGATGTGACAATAAAATAAGACTCCTTAATTTAAAGAATTTAAAAAAGAAGACCAACCATCAACAACCGCATCATGTGGCCAAATATAAAAGCCTGCATATAGAATCTTGTTCTCTTGGTCGCCAAGTGACCAAAGATTCATGCTCGCTCACCCTTTAATTTAATATCAAGGGTTGAGATTAAAACATTGAAAGAACATTCATTTATTCTCTATCCCTGATATCAAATTCAAGGGTGAGTCACAAACATTCCTCCGTCACGGGATGACCAAGAGAACATTTTTGCTACATATAAAAGAGCAATAAACTGTAAATGCAAGACAAAATATATGTAAATTCCTTGTGACAAAATATATTCTTACTTAAACTCCTTTACAAGTATCTTTAGTATCGCTCATAACAAGGATTCTTGGACGATGTTTGAGCATGGTGAGAGAAAGTAGTAAAACAGGTTATTTTAGAACGCAATAGTTTGCGGTTTTAGTTCGCTAACCTCCATCTGCAAAGGCCTCCAAGCACGCTCGCACCTTTCCCATCTCCCCTGCATATGAGCCAAAAATGCCTCTGCCCATTTTTCCTTGCTCCCTCTCATGCTAAGATCGTAGGGCACCGAGAAACTGTTCAACCAATCAACAAAAATCAAATCTCAGTGATAACGGATACTAAAGCGTGTCTCTGTGTCCGGTGCAGGTAAAGACTACCGAGAGTTATATTCTGGGTAGATAATATATTATGTGTCAATGACAATTTATAAAGGCACAGGAATGATAAACACAATGGTGAACCCGACCCCCATCCATCTACCGATAATATAACTCTCTCCACAAATGTAACACTATCCATTCTCCACAACAAGAAAAAAATGCGGATAGAGAGTATCTATTCTCTGTTAAGTGCATCTCCAAGGACTTATAAATGAACCTTCAACTATGCCCTTACTACATAACTTCTCAAAAGCCTTAACTCAATTAACTTTGGGACTTCCCAACAGTTCGGAAAGAAGGCTAAAAATATAGGGTGGGGTTCAAAATATCACAAAATTCATCCTCGTTACGCATAACATCAATATCATCTCCAGTACCGATGTGCTCTTCCCATAACAGTCAAAAGAACTTGCACTCTAAAAAAAATAAAAAAATTCTTTGTGTTGCCTCATCAAGTATTCTTTTCAACTTACAGAAGATATCCATCAATTATAACACTAATAAAAATAAAATAAAAAATTCACGGAGAGTTACCTCAAGAGTTCGTCTGGTTGATATACTTCATCAGGGGATCCATTCCTGCAAGAATTACAAACTTTTATCTCAACAAGCGACATTGCGTCCGTGAGCAATGTATTTTGAAGACTGACCTTTTGGCTAGTACTGTTAAGTATGCAATTAAATTGCTCAAATATGAGAAGTTTTCTGTAGTTTTTGTTATTTAACTTAGAGCACAACAAGAGACTAGTATTCTCAGCACTTTTTAAGAATTTATCTAAAACAAGCCACAAAAACCAAATGTAAAACATACGAACACATTTTTACTTTTATTGGTTACTGGACTTCTTGCAAATCCAAGACACTATACGTGTACGATGCCATGTTAGTACTTTAGAGAATGAAAATATGTATGTGTGACCCAAGTGGGACATCGAATATCGTGATAAAATATAAATCTAATAATTCAAATTCTGATATAACTACTGAACGCCTCATAAAACAAGACCAGAAAAACTAACCTGCATATTGATATTTTATAGATATGAAGACACTTGGAAGAAAGATTACAAACAGCAGCAACATTATGCTCCTCTCTGAACAAGTACACAACTGGATACCCAAGAAGCCATCTGAAGTATTGAACACAAATTTTTAGTGTATGACACTAAGATTCTAATCCCAACATCTAATACAAGAAGAAATTTAAAACTATTAATTTTCGAATGGGATTTACATGCAACTTCTAACAAGTTCATTCCTTAAAACTTTCTGAAATAGTATAAGAATTACTTCAGAATATCAATTCAGCTTCCAATTTGAGTGACTTTCTAGCAAACTATTAGACTTACGACTCAAATGTTTAGGAGTTGACGGACAAAACAGGCAGTGGCAAAACAACTCTTTATTTATTTCCCCCCTCCAGTCCCACTTTATGTTTTATTTCCAGCCTAATTACTGGCATCAGTCAAACTACAAGTTATCGATTTGTCTAGTGAGTTTCCACTTCATGTACTCCAAATACTTTGTAGCCAGGTTGTAGACTGGAAGTTCAATACCAAATAAAATAAGATTTTTTTTTCCCATTAATGGGAAAACGGAATCAGATTTCAATTTCTAAATATTTTATGCAAGCGTAGGGGACCATCCGACCATAAAAATTTTCATTGTAACTTTTAGTCATTCGGTTATTCCTTGGTGTATGCTTTTCGCAGACGATATAGGGTTGATAGATGAAACTCAGGAAGGGGTAAATGCGAAGCTTAACCTTTGGAGAGAAGTGTTGGAATCTAAAGGTCTTCGCCTAAGCCGATCAAAGACAGAATATATGGAATACAAGCGGGATGCATGAAGTGGAAGAGTGCATCCGGCGTGTTGTGTGACCGTCGTATGCCACTGAAGCTCAAGGGAAAATTTTATAGGACGGCAATAAGGGCGGCGATGCTGTATGGCACAGAATGTTGGGCGGTGAAGCATCAACACGTACACAAAATGGGTGTAGCGAAGATGAGGATGCTTCGTTGGAGGTGTGGGCTCACGAGAAAGGATAAGATTAGGAATGAGTGGGTTGGACATGTGCAAAGAAGGCCTACTGACGCTCCAGTTCGAAGATGTGACTACGGGACAGAGGTTCAGGGCCAAAGGGGTAGAGGAAGACCTAGGAAAACTTTGGAAGAGACCCTAAGAAAAGACTTAGAGTACTTGGATCTAACGGAGGACATGATACAAAACCGAGCGCAATGGCGTTCTATGATTCACATAGCCGACCCCACTTAGTGGGAAAAGGCTTTGTTGTTGTTGTTGATGTTGGTTATCCAAGCCAACTTAGTAATGTGCCTGTAAAAGGGACCACCTAACTCCTAAGCAATTATCTGACCATACCAGTTAAAAGTCCATCTGAGTCATTCAGGCTACTTTACATATCCAAGTGGTGCTGAAATTGTTCACAAACATATTCAGCATCACAGAAACCTGAAGCAGGGAAATGCTACATCCCAAGGGTAGTAAAGGTGTATCCAAACGTAAGCTTAGACAGTTACCCATTTAGCGTTGGCAGTAAGACCTCAGTATTTTGCATGCAGCTACTCAGATCGATAAATTCAGATGACTGAGAAGGGATGAGTTCATTTATGGGCGGTTCAGCATCAGCTGTTATACTGTGAGATGGCGAAGCCTCATCTTTCCTTCCACCAACAGGAAATACCAGAGAGAACAACTTCTGAATAGATATAAGCTGCATCCCCAATGGGTTTTTTTCTGCTTCTGTTATCATCTGCAACACAAATGAAAGAAAGGCAATCACCAAATGGGAGAAAGAAAAATGTTCAAGTTCAAGGTAAAGATTACAGGGGGCGGAAAAGAATATAGCAGAGAGTAACCTTTGGAGGATCTCGTTCAACATCCACAAAGAGCAACTCTTGTTCTGAGTTCAAGCTTGACCTAACATGATCAGCAAGCCCTCTAACGTGTATCAAATATATCATTTCTTCTATAACCATTACTCTCAAATGCTCAAAAATGGGTGACTCCTGCACAAAAGTCTTAAAGGTTATTTGATTTTCAGAAAACCAATAACTCTAAAAGTAAAAGGAAAAAGGACAGAATAATAATATGACATGATATGCAACGTCAATAGATCATGTAATGCAGATTATCAGCTAATGCTCGGCCCGCATCCTAGTGGAAATGTAATGGGAAAGAGAGCTGAGAGAGATAAGAAATGATTAAATCATAAAACCCGGATCATCTTTGCCAAAAAACCAACTAAAGACATACCAACACATATCAGTACATGTGTTTACAGAAGTACGAATAAGCAAATGCAGGTAATATTATATAAAATGAATTGCAATCTTTCTTACCAAAGAACAAACATTTGACTTATGAATTTTAAACATTAGACTCCGAATCCTTAAACCCTAAACAAAAACTTATTCAGTGTGGGGGGGGGGGAGAGAGAGAAAGCACCACGTCTCGCGGGTTATACCATCGATGTGCGTGTCACGTTTACATGTGTGTGTGCGCGCACCACCATGATTCCTAATTGAACTTCTATGAAATGGTTTCACCGGATTCAGCTAATTGTCTTGACTAATTGTTAATAACTTAATATAGACATTTGACTATAGCTATAAGTTAAACCTATTGGTAAATGGTATTATTAGAATGATTTAGAAAACTTGGATAAAATGTCAGTATGAACTGTGACAGAATCAGCAGCAAAACTAATTTAAAACCAGTCAACTAGTTTAATAAAGTTTTAAGGACAAACCTTTTGACAAAGTTTCAAAATAGCGCAGAGTCTCTCTTGCAGTTCAGGCATCTTTCCGCCATAGTCTACCAGTATCACTGGCCTCATTCCAGTGCACAAAGCTAGAATATCTGCCTCCACAAAACCACAAGTCGTTAAACATAACAGTAAAATATACAAACTTTGGTTGAAATGTTTACAGATATATTCCTAGTAAGCCAGAGGAATTCATAGTGGCAAGGAGAAAGATTCTTGAAGGCTTGGATGCGCTTCTCATTTACCGTACACGGTAAATTCAGGATCTTGTTTCAATTTTTAAAGGGTGATCACCAAAAGTATCACCACATAGAAGTGGACATATAGTTATCGTTATAAATCAAAATACTACAAAAGCGCAGGGTTGAACACAATTGTTTTACTTCCATTTCCATGTACATTTTACGGGGAAAAAGAATATTAAATCAAGATTATATGTACTCTTTCCTCTACAGCCTCTTTTCATTTCGTGATCACCAAAGAAAGTTTCTTTCCCTTCTTTGCTTTCTATTCAAATAACAAAGATCATCATCAATCAAATGTATGTTTTTTGGGTTACAATCAATCAAATGTATCTTCATAATCACATGATTTCTCCATTTTTGCTCTGGATGAAACGAAAAGAAAACAAAAAAGGAAAGATTTTTCAGGAAACCCAACCCAATCCCACTGACAAGTATAAAAGAAAGATCATTTGCTGGCCCTCTAAATTACAACACAAAAAGGTGGAGTTGCAAAATTGAAACCAAAGGAGCCACAAGAGCAGCATCTCAACTTTTAAAGATAAATATTATCGACAAACATATTCAGCTGAGAGCTTATACAGGCACCAATGAAGAATTATCTACTCCAACGTTTGAAGGAGACCAAATTTACCAAAACTCATATGCAAAATTGAGCTTGTGAATTGAAACACAACAAAATATTGAAAACCCAGAAGCCAAAATGGAGTGTTCATTCGGGAAATCAGAACAACATAAACTGTTACAATTGAGAGAGAGAGAGAGAGAGAGAGAGAGAGAGAGAGAGAGAGACCTGTGTCAAGTCGACGTCGAGAGTATTTGAGACGCCATTTGATTTGAGAGAGAGAGGAGTTCAACACTCTCAATGCTTCATCTAACTCTGCAGCTTCGGTTAAGAATTCCTTGTCTTCTTTTTCTCGAGGATCCTCCATCGACACACAGAGAAGACAGACTTCCTGAAAGTGCCGCTGCTTGTTATGTCAAGCGGTTTTTACCAGTAGAGAAGAGTGGAGTGTGGCCATTTGGCATATGAATTCCCGTTTCTGTTTTTTTTTTTCGTATATTTTCTTCGAAATGAATTTCACATACGGGACTAATTAAAATTAAATATAAAAAATATATTGTACAATATCGAAGACATAACAATAAAAGATTCACAACATAACGATTAAATATTGATGACAGATTAAAATATTGATCATTTCGCTAATTGAGATTTAGCTTCAATATATCATTTTGACCAATTTCCTTTACTTATGTTCTATCAAAAATCATATGACCGTTTGAATAAGAGTTCAAGATTTTTTTGTAAAACCGTATTCGTTCATTTTCTTCATTACAAATGAATGTTTTAATAGTTTTGAATTTGTATATTTTTTGTGAGAATGAGCTGTAAATGATATTCTAAATGATAAACGATTTGGATCGTTAAATTATATTACAGAGTGGGTCCCATAAAAACGTGTGTAACAAATGTTATGTAAAAAAGTGGCCGCCCATTTATTTTATGCTAAATCTACAATCCACTTGGTGTTAGATCTTAAGTTTGTAATTTTAAATAAAGATCCAACGATTAAAATATCTGTAGTACCTCTAGAGCATAAAAAAACATAATAAAGGTCGTACCCAGTGCATAAGGCTCCCGTTTTACGCAGGGTCTGAGAGAGGTGAATGTCGGCTAACATAAAAAAAAATCCCTTTACGAAACACCTTGTTTCGTAAACTCTGGGAGTTTGAGTGGCTCAAAATCAATATACCAAATATTTCTCTCATCTAACTTAGGCGATGTATTCAATTGGAATTTTGAGGGATTTTAATTCTTTTAATGAATCTAGGGGTATTCAATCAAGATTTTAAGTGATTATCTGAAATTCAATTTATAATCAATCAAGATTTTAAAATAGTTTATTAAAATCCTTAGAAATCTAGATGTATTCAATTAAAATTTTAAAGAAGTTTATAACATTACAAGTGTATTCAATTAGAATTAGAATTTAAAGAATTTGGAAAAGTTGAGGAATTAGAGAGAATTTGAGAGATTTTATAGTGTATTTTAAGCAACCACAAATCTCACTTCTCCCTATGAGATTTCAAGGGAATTGAATCAAAATTTTACATAAAATATGTACAAATAAGTTAAACTTCATAAAAATCCATAGATTTATAAATCCATTAAAATTTCTCAAATTCCCAATTGAATACACCCTTAGACCATCATGAAAGAAATGTCAAATTATAATAGTATAGAACATTGTAAGGTTTAAAAACTTGTTAAAACTTTGAAGGGTCTTATTGTATGGTTTAAAATTTGAGGGGGCTATGTGATAAAAACAACAAACTTGTGAGGTTTCAAGTTTCAAACCTGATCAAATTCCGCTCTGGACAAATTTGACCATTCTTTCTTTCACTACAGTCCAATTTCTGGCGACGGAGCTTTGGTGGGGAGCAAAGACGACGATTACAGCACCGGATGGAGTCGGAACTAAGAACCTCCGGCTACCACTCTCCTGACAGATCCGTGCTGCGCAACCGTTGCTGCAATCGTCGTCTTGGCTGTCCACCAAGCTCCGTCCGTCACCATACATGTCAATTGGATATCGAGTTATCGAATATTTTTAAGGTAGCAAGCAAGCAACAAATAGCATTTGTCGATAGAACTCCATGAATCAATGTGCTTCTTTTTTGTTCAAATTTATATGCTTTTTGTTATTCATATGATATACACTTGACATTTGGTTGTATCCAATCCATTGTTTGATACATACTTGATAAAGGGTTGAGATTGTGGTTGTTCAATTTTGTGTTCTTTGTTTATCTTCCAATGCTGTAAATTATATTGGTTTATTGTATTGTAAATGTCGGCCTGACGTGCAATTTGGAGGTTTTTATGGAGGTGCTGCTAAATCCAACTCAATCCTGTAGAAATTACGGTTTGCAATGATCTCTAACTGACATGGAGTGTATTCCACTAGTTTTAAACATCGTAATGGCCTTGCGTGAATGTCTTCGAATGACTAGATTAGCGTTCTAATTTCTGTTACTTCTTAGAGGTTAGAAGTTGGTCCATTGAGTTTGTGCTTGTTTTTAGGTAATTGCGCTTTATTTTGGTGCTTTGTATTGAAATGAGCAGATCCGTTGGTAATATTCTGATCGTCAATGCTAGTGCTTCCGAGTGAAGTGAATGACCAGTATGTGAGGAACAAATTGAAGGGTGTTCTATTTCCATTTCTGTACAAGGTAGGCATGAATCTTTGGATTTTTCCTTGTCGGATCAGATTATCCTGACATAGAACTTACACATTCTAACCCACCGTTTCTATTTTCAGTGAGCCAGTAGGAGGCAGGCTTTCCTATATATACCATAATCGATGACATCAATGCGGTGGACCTATACATTTCATATGCAGAAATTGGTACCTATACCTTTTAGTTTCTTAAGGCTCAAGAGCAACAGAAGTGTTTTCAAAATGTCATCTAAGATGCTGTTAAAAAATAACACTCCTTTACCACATTTAGCGTGCGACATAAACTGTAAGTAGGAGTATCACCTGTTACCAAGTGCTTTTTGTTAACTGATGTATGTTGCAAACGGGACCAAAGACTAGCATTTGGCCAAAAACTAAATTCTTTTAGCAGGCCGTAACGTTGTTTTACTGGTTACCGTGAGGGAAAATATAGCTGTTCTTGTTGATGCACTAGTTCCTTTTCCTTTTCTTATTATTTGGAAGGAGTATGTTAGGTATTTTGACTCTTAAAGAGAAACTTTCACTAGGGCATCAATCTGAGACAATCAGCTATTGGCTATTTTCTCAACGGCACATGAATGTTTTGACTGTAGATCGGCTGGTCCTCAGCTTCTCGAACTGCATCATGGTTGCAATTGGGATTTTCTTTTAGTGTCTTCGTATTTTGTGTTTATTTATGGTTTTGGTATTTCAATCTTTCAATGGTTGAAGATCTTATCTCTCTTAGTACTCAATGATCTCTTAAACCCTTTTTTTTCTTTGGTCATTGCCAGGTTTAGCCCTGAAGCACTAAACTGGTTGTTAATCAGGGGATTGCTTGGCTGGTTTGCAATCTGCAATGCTGAAAGTGACATAGCTAGCTCTGGATACCATTGCTGGACGTTGTGGCGTATGCAGGGTATAATTCCGCAGGGTTGTGCTTGCCCGTATTTGGACAGGTTCTGTTGAGTTGCTCATATTATTTTGTATGCCTTGGACCTGTTTATTTATGTGTGGAAAGTCTTCTTGGAGAAGACTATAAAGGGAGAACTCTATCAAGAGAGTCCACTTTAGAGAGGTGAGGGGTTATGATTCATGCAAGTATACATTATCTGTTGCTCTTTATTGCTTTGTCTCAGTAACCACTTTTTACATGGCTTGACAATCCTAATATGAATTGGATTATGTAACATTGTTTCTATTTGTATACAATTTTCTTTTTATTCATTTCCTGAGAAAAAAAGTAAATCTTTTTTATTGGAAAAATCTTACCCACTGGTATCATTCTGTCCACCGCATTCTGAAAATTTCCTTTGCCCCCCAAAGCATATTGGAAGGTTTTCTGGACACTTCAGGCAGTTATTTGAAAGACTACCCCTTATTGTCTTTGGGCCAAGAATGAACTCCTGCGGAAGCTTTCCTTGCAGAAAGTTGTGATCTAAGTAGAGGGTTCTCCATGCTTCTACTTTTGCTCTGAATTCCCCCGGTATAACACCAAAGAACTGATTCTATGACATGTTGATTGACTTTAAATTTGGAAGAGTGACCAAATTGAGAGGCAAATGTCCACGCTACTGATTTCCTTCGGCTTCAAGCACTTGAAGCTGTGTTTCGGGTCCAAGAAATCTTACAACTTCTAAGGTGGTGAAGGTGTTGATTGAAACATTGAGTTCGGTCAATTTGGGCAAGGTAAAAATATCTCTTGTAATCGTACCTGAAAGCCTGTTGTCACTCACATCTAGCAACTGCAGACGTTTGCGTTTGTTTAATGCCGGAAGGTGCCCGGAAAGCAGGTTATGGCTGAGCATCAATTTTCTCAAGCCTAATGGAACATTTGGCATACGCCCATAGAGATTGTTTCTGCTGAGATCTAATGTCCTCAGCTGCCACAACCCTTAGACTTCAGGGATTCTCCAGTGAATCCATTGTTGGACATGCTAAAGTAGGTCAAACTCCTTAATCCACTAATGCTTGGAGGAATGGTGCCGGAAAGCTGGTTATATGAAACGTCTAGAGATTGAAGCATTTTGAGCGCAGTCAATCCTTTGGGAAGGTTGCCTGTGAGGAAATTGCCGGACAATGAAAGTCTGGTGAGCTTGTTTAGTTCAGAAATGGTATCCGGGATTGGTCCTCGAAAGTGGTTTTTGCTTAGATTGATGATAGTGAGCTCTGTTTAGATTCCAGATTGACGGTGTGATGAACCCCTCATAGCCACTACCGTCAAGCTCAATCGTTATTCTGCTAGGGGAGTTGTCAAGCGCAAGATTCCCAGAAACTCCCCCACCCCCCGGTACTCTCACATGGATCCAATGCAAACTCCCAAGTACTCAGATAAGAAGAGACGGGAACAGAGTTGGGATCAATGGCACGCTTTATAAGACGAAGAACTTGAGTATCGGAATCGAGAGTGAGCGAATTAACTAGCATCGAAACTGAAAATGTGGTGATGAAAATAAGATAAAGTAGATAGAAGGAGCAGAGGGGAGGCATAAGCTTGCCCATTGGTAAGGGGGAGCTCAAAGCTTATTTCAGTTGTTGGTTTGCTTGCTTTGTGTGGGTGTGTTGTATGCTATAAAGTGAGGGATGCAAAAAGACCCCTTGAATAGGGAAAGATTTTGTTGTTAAATCTCATGCCAAGAACTTGGGGGCAAATTATATCCATTTCTTTTAAAGGTTGTCTGCATTTGGGGATTTTGCTCTCTTTTGCTCATCCAACCTAATCTTTCTTTATCCAAACCATCTTTTTGTATACTCATTGTTTTTGCCAAATAGTTGACAAAAACGATCTGTTGCATGCTTAAATGGAAACAACAAAAACGATCTTTTTGTATACTCATTGTTTTTATTTGACTCTCTCTCTCCCGTTTCTCTGCTTTCTCTTCTTCCATTTGACTCTCTCTCTCTCTCTCCCGCATGCTCAGATACAAACCCATACTTTCTCTTCATTTCATTATCTTTCTCTTCAATTTCGGTAAATCAAACTATTTTTCCCCAATTTAAAACCAACGATATGAAAAGGCTAAGGGAGGCGAGTGTGGACTGAACTGCATCAAACTATGATTTCCCTGCACTTCGCAAACATCGCGTCGTTCCGGCCAGCGCAAACGCCGAATTTTTCCCTAGAAGGAAGTGCGTTTCGGTCTGTTTCGCCGGTATTTCGGCAGATTCGTCTCCAACTCAGCCCGGAAAGCCCGAAATCGAGCTCGAATTCATCTGGGTTGTTGGGTAACGAAGCTACGTTTGGGTAACGAAGCATTTGGGTTGCTGGGTTTGTGGTGGAGGAGGAGGCTACAGGAGAGAGGGAGGGTAACGAAGCTACGGGAGAGGGAGGCTGCGGGAGAGAGAAGGAGGGTAGACAATGGAATTTTTGTGTTCAACATACGTGGAACAACCCGTTCCAGGGGGGAGGCGGGACGCAAAAACACCCAATTTCTGTCCCGTGGAACAGCGCGTTCCACTCATTTTTGGCGTACCAAACGCGGGACGGAACGCCTCGTCCCATTCTGTCCCGTCCCGTTCCACGTACCAAACGCACCCTTAGTGAGTACCAAACAACATACATAAATCTAATCAAGTCCCATCCCATCCAGTCTAATACTACAAGTTATATCCATGTCAGCCCATCAAACGTGCCCCAAGAGCATGAGGAAGGTTATGAGGAGATGAGGGAGGTTGAGAAAGAGAGGATTTTGATATTAAATCCATAAGAAAAAAAGTCTGTCACGTCCTTGTTTGATTCGGTTTAGCTTTTAAACTGAAAACCCTATAACATAACCGGTTCAAGCTAGAACTTGTACATTTCCTAAAAGTCTCAAAAAAATTATTTTATGGAGTCCCATGTCGAATAATTTATCACTAAGATGGGTTGCAATATAATATATATATATATAGCTACTTATTGAAAATAACGATGAGGGCAATTATACCATGGACAATGATGATCATAATTGAATGAGCTGTTAATTGAATTATTGGAAATTTGATGTGGAGGATAACCAGGATTAAATATGTTATGAAACCAACTGTTATAAACAAATAGAAATAATTGAAAAAATGATTGATCTGTGTTTACCTTGAATTTGAGATATTCGATGAATTGACTGTGAGTAAGGATTTTATGCTATTCAAAATCAGTTGTTATGAAAATATTCTTCATAATGAAAATAATGAATTCAAAATAATGATGCAAATATAATTTGAAAATAAGTTTTATTGCAAAACACTGGAACTTACAATTGATTTACTGACGATTGAGTCAGCAAATAAGAAAATGATTGATGAAAAGGATATTGGTGCACGCAAGCATCCTTGACATTTGAAAGTTAAAAGTGTTTACAATTTTGATTTCTTTGGGTACAGTGTGAACTCAAAGAAAGTTTTTACTGAGAAATTGTGAAAATTCCAAACTTGAAATCTTCCTCATCCGGAGTCTACTTTTTATAGACTTGGAAAAAGGTATTGGGTGACTTGCTTTTACTATTGATGAATGATGACTTGCTTTCACTATTGATGAACAGTGAAATTTGTTGGAATAATTGCTGCTTTCATTGTAGAATATGGATGATTGAATGACTCCAAACTTTGTCAGAATCATTGGTGGGAATGTGCTGGCTGACTGAATAATTCCATGCTTTGTCAAAATTATTGGTGCGAATATTGTCTGAACGCTTCACATGGTGACTTTGGAAAGATGACTGAATTTTCACATGGTAATTGTCCTAATGTTCACATGGTGACTTGACATGATGACTGAAGTTTTCACATGACTTTATGCAAATGGGTCATGGGAATCCTGGTAGTCGACCCACTTAGCTGACTGTGTTTTTTGACTTGTTGACTTGGCTGGTTGCTGTGAGGACGCATCTGAAGATTCGGAGTCTGAAACTTCTTCTTCTTTAGTGTGGAGCATCGCTGCTTCTGCAAGTAATTGTTGTGCTAAATATTTGAGCTGAGTGACTTTATTCTTCTTTGAGCCTGATGATTTGGAAGACTTGATTGTTCTTTTGAAGGATGAGGATGGACTAATGTCCAATAATAACTGTTCCGGGATGACTGGTAGTGATAGCTGTGCTGGTTGTGCCAGAATGATTGGAGGTGGAGTAATGGGAAATTCAATGAGGACCTAATTGATGGTTGAATTTATCCCACCGCTTGATTGATCTGTCCTGGTAGTCGACCCACTTAGCTGACTGTGTTTTTTGACTTGTTGACTTGGCTGGTTGCTGTGAGGACGCATCTGAAGATTCGGAGTCTGAAACTTCTTCTTCTTTAGTGTGGAGCATCGCTGCTTCTGCAAGTAATTGTTGTGCTAAATATTTGAGCTGAGTGACTTTATTCTTCTTTGAGCCTGATGATTTGGAAGACTTGATTGTTCTTTTGAAGGATGAGGATGGACTAATGTCCAATAATAACTGTTCCGGGATGACTGGTAGTGATAGCTGTGCTGGTTGTGCCAGAATGATTGGAGGTGGAGTAATGGGAAATTCAATGAGGACCTAATTGATGGTTGAATTTATCCCACCGCTTGATTGATCTGATTCTGTAGACTTCACGTGTTTCGACTTCATAATTCCACTTCATAATCCATGAGACTTTGTACTTTGGCCATGAATATTGGGAGAAGTGTAATTCTGTAGTTGAATCGGCTTTTGTCAAATTTCTGCTGGAAATTGGCGGATAGGACCTGCATAAACTCTTTTGGTAGGAGACTGGCTATTAGGCTGTGAATTGACCACCATTTTGGGAACCATGCAGGAAAATTCAATATGAAACTCTTGTCAAAATTAATGAACCATGAATGACTAAAATCTTCTGTTTGATGGAGGAAGATGTTAATCCATGCATCAAAGTAATTGTAATGGTTATTGGGAATATGGACATATTGAGTATGAAGAGATTTGGTTTTATAAAAGGGGATTCTCCAATCTGATTAGGTTAAAAAACCTTCCAATGTAAAGAGAATAGTAGAGGATTTTGTTTTCATGGGTTTTGCTGTAGAGAGGTTTGATTGAAATTGACTCAGTTTCACTGAGGATAGCTTGATATTATTTCAGTGTTTTATGTGATGTTATAAGATGATAATGGAAATTAGGTGGAAAAACTGTTTTGGCTAATTTTTCTGGTGCTTGTTCTTGATTAAGATTGAAAAGGATACTGAAAATATATTCATTGGGGTTTTTCTTGACGTATGGTGATGTTTTGGTATAACTGACTGGTTGGGATGATGA